AATAATAAAAATAAAACATAATAAAATATTATGTTTTAAAAACATAATAAAATATTATTATGTTTTATTTTTATTATTTTATTATTTCCATTCTACGTGACTTTACCGAAAGAACCAAGAAGATGAATCCCTGCAGTCACGAAAGTTTTAAATCGAAATTTAAACAGTAAACACTCATGGCTGGGGAGGGGGGAGGCGATGGGGGAGGTGGGTGGCAATGTGACGGACAGGGGGATGTTGATTCGTCGATTAGCGGATGCTCTACAATCGAACTTGTCGTCTCAACGACGGAGCCGCTCGTTAAGTGAATTTGGTCGTTAAGCGAGTTTCGGAAATGCACGCGAAAGGATTAATTCGTTCCAGCACCATCGAAAGTTACTCCCTTTTCACCCAAAAACGCACCTTGTACAATGTTAACAATGGATATGAATGCATAAAGATACTGACAACGTTATAAACACATACTATTACGAAGAAACATGGTTAATCAATGCATTAATGAATATTTCCTGTACCTACAACAGCCAGTCGTTAAGAGGGGAATGTTCGGGATGCGAATACATTGGGCTCTATGGAGGTTCTACACTACTATACACTACACTATACACTACATACACTACACTATACACTACTATACACTACACTACTATACACTACACTATACACTACTATACACTACACTATACACTACATACACTACACTATACGCTACTATACACTACACTATACACTACATTACTATACACTACACTATACTACTATACACTACTATACACTACACTACTATACACTACACTATACACTACTATACACTACACTATACACTACTATACACTACACGACTATACACTACACTACTATACACTACACTACTATACACTACACTATCATACACTACACTATACACTACTATACACTACACTACTATACACTACACTATACGCTACTATACACTACACTATACACTACATTACTATACACTACACTATACACTACACTACTATACACTACTATGCACTACACTATATACTACTATGCACTACACTATACACTACTATACACTACACGACTATACACGACTATACACTACACTACTATACACTCCACTACAATACACTACACACTACACTACTATACACTACACATTGGACTCCATGGAACCCAATGTTTAGTGTATAGTCAGCGATTAGTCGTTAACAGGGTTGGTCGTACGAGGGATTCTATAGCACAGGTGCCGCGGTGGCTAGGAGATGTTAACTACCTCGCCTGGTATGCAGGGTGCGTGGGTTCGATCCCGACCCTGACGCCTGCTGTATATTTGGAGTATGTGTGTATCTCTCATCATCATCACGGTGGCTAGGAGATGTTAACTACCTCGCCTGGTATGAAGGAGTGCGTGGGTTCGATCACGACCCTTACGCCTGCTGCTGTGTATTTGGAGTCGGCGTGTGTCTCTCTCCCCGTGGTCGCGTGGATTTTTCTCCGGGTTCCCCTCCGTTTTTCCCTCCGAGTTTAGAATCTACACGCGTTTGGTATACACAGTATGTAGCAGTGGCGGCTCCTGCAAAATCTCTCAGGGGGGGCAAATGTCTGGATGATTGATAAGGGTAAGGTCCACCCATGCAATGGATAAATTAACAGCTTAAGCATGTAAAGGCAACTTCACTTCTTTAATATTAATGAAAAATAAAGTGACTCTTACAATACATCTTGTTTGTTTCTATACTCACTATTAAAACAAACCACTCAAGTTTCTTTTATTAAAGATTCCACTAGGTGGCGACAAATTATATTGTTGGATGAAACGTGCTTACGTATGATGACGTAAGCACGTATGATGACGTAAGCACGTATGATGACGTAAGCACGTTAGGGCTTGCCCTCTCGGAAGCCATAGAGAATGCATTGCAGCGCCCCCGTTCGAAAAAAAAACATCTTTGAATGTAAGTCTATGGGGCCACTCGGGGCGATTCTCAGCCGGAGTGAAATCGCCCAAAAAGAGGCGGTACTCCACAGAACGTGACATGACGCTGATTGGACTATATCCAGAGGCTGACAGTGACGGCTAGCGTGACTCTGTGGTTGAATGACATTGGTGGTGCGTCGCCCAATCGCCCTAATGAAGAAACCGCCCCTGGTATGTAGCTACTGCTATATATGTCCACGCGATAAGCCACTTCGTTGAGCTATCATTCGTGATAGTCAGGTCGCTTCTGAAAAAAGATCTGTATAGCTCAGTGGGCCTTAACTGGTAAAATAAAAGATAAGTATCTTCTTGGTTCTTTCGGTAAAGTCACGTAGAAGGGAAGTAAAAAAATATTTTATTATGTTTTATTATTTATATTATTTTATTACTTCCCTTCTACGTGACTTTACCGAAAGAACCAAGAAGATGAATCCCTGCAGTCACGAAAGCTTTAAATCGAAAAAAATAAGTAGTTTATATGTATTTATTTATTTACACATTCTTTGGTGGATCGGTGGCGCAGTGGTTCGCGTGCTACGCAAAGAACCCGGCCAGCCGAGTTTGATTCCCGGCAACGGTGTGAGTGAAATCCGAACCGGTCGTGGGATTCTCCCACCCAGCACCGTCCCGACCATTCGTCAACCCGCATTGACCAGCGGGGTGAAGGATGATAACACCCCCCTCCCTCCACCGTGACCGACATAGCTTGGGGAGGTCAGACGCTGTCTTTCCGACAGACCTGTTCTTCATCTGAGGACGGCTGCTTGCGTTGTGGCCGAAACGTCGTGAGAATTATTTTATTATGTTTTATTTTTATTATTTTATTATTTCCATTCTGCGTGACTTTACCGAAAGAACCAAGAAGATTATTATTTCAGTTTAAAGACTATTTCACTCGATCCCAAGTGTGCGATTGCATATGTAGCGAGTCAACATTATTCCGCGAATGTTGTTAATGTTTCATGACTGCTTCCTACTGCGAAATAAATGCATTCGAATCATATACGCAGCTTGTAGATTTTTAAATATGATGTTTCGCGGCTAAAATATATTCTAAGTTGGCTTAGGCCCCCAACGTAGGAACGACACTCCGGCGGTCGAGACTAAGGACGGATTGGCAGCCAATGGAGGGAGCGCGCCTGACAACCGTCCCCCGCGGAGATGGAGCGACACTGATCAACTCGTGTGCATGTGTTGGGGTTGATTGCAGGCGAGCAGGCTACGGAGGCTGGGTCAGGTAGCCCGCATGCCCAGCCACCGTATGCCCAGCCACCTTCTGTTTGGCCGGACAGAGCAGGGCTAAATCGGCGCGGTACGGACGAGAGGGGAGATGGAGCTGTTGTTGGTACAGGAGGACGTGGAGCTGAGAGGGCTTGCCGATGACCGGTACCAGCGGTGTTACAATCGGCCACTGTGGAGGAGGTTCGTGAAGGACGCTGCTACTGGGCAGTTGGAGGCAATCGCCCCTCTAGTAATAACGGAGGGCTAAGAAGCGACGCTCACAACAACGAGCGGAGCGCCGGGTGGATAAAACGCGGTGAATCGGCACAGTAGGGAACCACGGGTGGTTTGCATCTGCCATCTCAGTCAACCCACAGCACCTGGGTCCGACCCGTGACCTCCTGCAAGCGGCGAGCCTTCGACACTTCAGGTGGCCCCATAAAAGTGCACGTAGCCTGGCACAAGCGCTGCGGTAACGTCACCGCCACTTCGTGGCGAATGGAGGTTGTTGTTGTTGTTGTTGCTGTTGCAGCATATCGGGAGATTACGACTCATTTGCGGTGGATTTTAATCGGGCAGTGGATTAATCATGGGTGATTCCAACAATAATAATGGCGTGGGCTAATTGTCAATAATAACAAAACCCCAAAAAAACATTGGGCTTCGCTTTGCTCTCAGAGTCTGAAGAAGGGCGAGTTTTCAGGGAGGGGGGATATCATGCGTCGTCTTCATCGGTCGACATCGTTCAGCATCGGAAAGGGTCCGAACGCGAGAGCTCATGTCGCCACCTGCCGGAGACATCGGCGAACATTTTCACGTTGCACCAATTCATCACCACCACCATCAATCTGATCAACCAGGCAGCTGTGATCCTCCACTGCTGGATGAGATAGAGCGATGCGATGGGCTGGATGGATTCACGTTGCACCAATTCATCACCACCACCAATCAGATCCATCAGGCAGCCGTGATCGTTCCACTGCTGAATGAGATGGAGCGAGCACATCGGCTAGATGGATTCACGTTGCACCAATTCACCACCACCAGCAATCAGATCCATCAGGCAGCCGTGATCGTTCCACTGCTGGATGAGATGGAGCGAGGACATTGGCTGGATGGATTTAACGTTTCATCAATTCATCATCATCACCACCAATCAGGTCCATCAGGCAGCCGTGATCGTCCCACTGCTGGATGAGATGGAGCGAGGACATCGGCTGGATGGATTTAACGTTTCATCAATTAATCACACGTAAGCTCTCGGTGCCAACATTGGTTCTCACCTGCTGTTTACAGCCCTGAGTGGAAATTCCACATTCATATCGCGGGCAAGTATATCCATAGGACAACCGCTCCACAAAGTGGTACCGATTTTATAGACACAAGGAGGGTATGATGGGCTGAGTCAACCAGGTGAGTTATAGTTTATTTACTTGCTATGCAACGACTTGTTATTTGCATTATTGCGTGGTATTTTTTCTAATTACCATAATATTTACTGTACGTTGCACATTCTCATTACCATACTAACATTTAAACAGCGGTTATATTCATATTTCAAAAGTCACACTTATCCCATGTGGTAAATCCAAACATTTCTCGACCTCACGCCGCTTATCAACTGTAGCAAATCCTAACACGCGTGTGGCAGTATTCCGCGCTCCGATTGGCCGAGCGCCTCCGACCAATGACGTCGCTCGTCTCTCGACCAACATGGCTGCGCCCAGTGGGAGCGTGGCTGCACGTGGGCTGCGTGGGATCGCTTAGTCGAGACGGAGATTCGAGCAGAGAAGGCGAAATAGCGACAGCGACTGAACCATGATGAATCGTAGAGGCGGGGGAGGAAGAGGAGGGAGGGGAGGAGGAAGAGGAGGGAGGGGAGGAGGTAGAGGAGGAGGAGGAGGTGGAAGAGGTAGAGGAGGTGGAAGAGGAGGTGGAGGATTAAGAGGACACAGGAAGGAGGAGGACAACCTGAGGCGGCTGCGAGTTTCTGTGGAGAAGTTCGCGAGGGGCGCAGACGGAGACTTGAAAGAAAGCGAGGGCTCGGACTTTCGGGGTCCCTCCAGGGGGCTCTCGAGGGGTACCTCCCGTGGGGGTACCTCCCGTGATGACTCGAGGGGTCCCTCCCAGGGTCTCGCGAGGGATCTTGCTCAAGGTCCACAACGGGGTCTCTCTCGGAGGACTTCAAGGGGCGGTTCCTCCATGGGGGGCTACACACGGGGCGCTTTCAGTGGTCTCCACAAGGATCCACCACGGAGCGACTCCGGGGACCCCTCGCGGGATCTCCCAAAGGGTCCCGGCGACGCCGACGCCGGCGGTGTCCCCCACGGGCCCTGCGGGGGTCGCCTCTCTCGGGGTCCCGCTCAGGGACCCTCGCGCAAGGAGAGACGCAGGCGGGAGCGGGCGCTGAAGAAGAGCAAGCGGCAGGAGCACTTCGCCAAGTTCCAGCGGCATCGCCCTGGCGGCGGTGGCGGCGATAAAAACAAGGGAGGTGGTGGAGGTGGAGGAGGTGGTGGTGGTGGAGGAGGTGGTGGTGGTGGTGGAGGAGGTGGTGGTGGTGGAGGAGGTGGTGGTGGAGGAGGAGCAGCGGCGTCGGTAGCGAGCCGCAAGGCGCGGGGCAAGGGTCATCTCGCGAGGGCCGACGCCGAGTCGGAGGAGGGGAAGGAAGTCGTCGTCGGCAAGACGGCGACGCACGAGCGAGGGCTGCACGACGAGACGAGGGTTGGCAAAAGGAAGAGAATCTACGACGACGACGACGGCGACAGCAGCGGGGCCGAGGATAGCGAGGGCGATGTTGGCGACGAGGTGAGGGCGACGCGAGCCGGCGAGGTGAGGAGGATGGGTCTGATGGAGGCGAACCGAGCGGAGGAGAGGGAGATAAAGCGTCTGGAGAAGCTGCTCCACATGGACAAGAAGAAGAAGAGCAAGAGGAGGGGGGGAGAGTCGGAGGAGGAGGCGAGGCTTCCGCAGGCGTTCATGCTGGACGGCCTGGACTACATCCTGGACGCGGTGAGCGGGCGGAAGGCGCTCGCGTTTTACGAGGAGGACGATGAAGTGGTGATGCGAGCGCAGGAGGAGGTGAAGGAGCAGAGACCGCGGCGTCTCGAAGAGGTCGCGGGCAACAAGGTCGCGATTCCGGAACGGGAGCGACAGAAGGTGGCAGGGAGCGGCGATGAGGCGTCTTCCGAGGACGAGCTTGGGTTGTCGGATGATGAAGATGATGATGGAGATGATGATGAAGAGGATGATGAAGAGGAGGAGGAATTGTCGGGCGACGAGGAGGAGGGTGAGGGAGGAGGCGATCGGAGCGAAGAGGAGGAAGGAGGAGATGACGTGATTGATGATGAACTCGCAGGACAGGAGCAGCTGTCTGCTGTCGAAGATGTTAATGATGTAGATGATGACGATGTAGAAGATGATGATGACGATGTAAAAGAAGATGATGACGATGTAGAAGATGACGATGTAGAAGAAGATGATGACGATGTAGAAGATGACGATGTAGAAGATTATGATGGTGATGATGGTGACAGCGCCTCAAAGGATGATGCGTGTGAGAGCGGTGGTGATGAAAACGACCAACCCAGCGTGAGTTTAAGAACAACAAAAAGTGTAAATAAACAGCGGGGTGACGTGAAAACAGACTTAATTGTTCAGTTTAACACGTAGGCTTTCACATTTTTATTCCTGAAAGTTAAGTTATCGAGGTTTCATACTCTTAGGTTTTTCGGTAAAGTCACATAGGTAAAAAATAATAGAAATAATTATAGAAATATTGAAGTTTACATATTTATACGTTTTAGTAGTATTATCACAGTGGGGATGTAGCAATTCACAGATTCGTTGAAATGTCACGCACTTCATTGTTGCGATTCAAGCCCCAAATTACCCTCTTGTTCCAGCATTGTGTCGAGTGTTGCGGCCTCTAGCGGCGGCAATTTTTTCCTGTAACCGAGTTAAGAGGCTGCACTACGAACCCGGCGACCCGAGTTCGATTCGCGCTCACGGCCAACGCCAGCGACGATTATCTGAATAGTTCCTGGGCCTCCCCTAGGTCGACTCGGCCTCAAATGAGTACCCGGTGCGGTGTGTAAACGTCGCCACTGGGGAGACAAAGGCGGTCGGGCGTTGTGTTGGCCACCGGGGGACCCCTTCGTGTGCCGTGCCGGACTTCATAGGTGCTCGCTAACAGCACTTGCCCCAACAGTCTGTTAAGGCTTTAAGGGGAGCTTTGTCAACTAAACTGTAAAAAAAAAATTGATTTAAAGCTTTCGTCACCGCAGGGATTCATATTCTTATTCATATTATTGGTTCTTTCGGTAAAGTCACGTAGAAGGGACATTTTCTTGCTGTGGATTTCACACCTGATGATGATTGCCTGTGTTGCAGTCGAAACGTGAGAATTTTTATAGCTTGATGTTTTTATTATTTTATTATTTTCCTTCTATGTAATTGTTTTTGTTTTACCAGGTAAGGCTCACAAATGATAGCTCAACGAAGTGGCTTATCGCGCGATTTGTTTTTGTTATAGCAGCCAGATTCCCCAAACGCATGTTTCTTAATGTGGAGGGAAAAACTGGAGGGTCCGGAGAAGAAATCCACGCGACCACGGGGCACGAGACATGCAAACTCCAAATATACAGCAGCAGCAGGCGTCAGGGTCGGGATCGAACCCACGACCTCCTGTATACCAGGCGAGGTAGTTAACATCTCCTAGCCACCCTGGTGCCCGGTGGATTTTGTCAATCCACCACTGGGAGAGGGCTTCTCCCACCCCGGGCACGAGAGTCATGACCATGCTTCATGACGCTGGTCAATTCGGGTTGGTGATGGCAGTGAGTGAGCCATTAGCATAGCTGTCCAGTGTCCAGACGGTTTGCAACTGCATCGGTACCAACGGTTCTACAAAGAGAGGGGGGGGGGTTGAAAATTAGACCACGTGGCCCATTCATTCTTCACACGGGGGGGGGGGGTCCACGCCAAGCAAGCGACGCCAACTGTGGAAACCGTATATTGAGACGAGGTAGCATCGGTCGTATGGTTACAATAATGGACCTTTTTGTTGTTGTTGCACTGCCGTCCGTTGAAAGCTGTGCAATGTGCCTGCTTTTCATTCGTGCAGCTTCCGGCGGCGGCTGCTGCTTCTGCGGACGCAACCCAAGCCGTCAAGTACGTCCCCCCGCACCAGCGCATGCGGCCTCCCGAAGAAGACGCCAAGAAAAAGGAGGAGCTGCAAAGGCTGAGCAAGACCGTGAGAGGGCTCGTTAATCGGTGAGGCTGCCCGAGGTTTTCCCCGTTTGGCTCGACGGGGGACGTGCCGTGAACCAGCAAGGGCCTTTTTCTCCCTTCAGCCCTCTCCTCCTGGTGGACCGGTTTCTTCCCGCTTGTAAGCGCTCATTCTTTGGCCAAAAACATCTTCAATGTGTACAGGGACTCCTCTACTTAAGAATGAATTGGGCTCCAGAGGTCTGTTCATAAGTCGATTTGTTTGTCCAATTTTACTCCTGTCGATTCCAAACATGCTGTACGGCGTGTACACTAAACACGGGGAATGTCTTTAAAAGTTGTATAATCTGCAGATGTAGATGCCACTGGTTCTTCACGTTCTGCAGCTATAGATGCCACTGGTTCTTCATGTTCTGCAGATGTAGATGCCACTGGTTATTCACGTTCTGCAGATCTAGATGCCACTGGTTCTTCACGTTCTTCAGATGTAGATGCCACTGGTTCTTCATGTTCTGCAGATGTAGATGCCACTGGTTCTTCACGTTCTGCAGATCTAGATGCCACTGGTTCTTCACGTTCTGCAGATGTAGATGCCACTGGTTCTTCATGTTCTGCAGATGTAGATGCCACTGGTTCTTCATGTTCTGCATATGTAGATGCCACTGGTTTTTCACGTTCTGCAGATGTAGATGTCATCACCGCCATCTATTGCACGGCGGTTGAACTTACGACTCTCGGTCCAAACAGGCAACTGGACATGTGGACAGGTTTGTTCGTATCTCTGAAAGTTTGTAAGTCGAATGTTCAGAAGTAGAGGAGTCCCTGTATGGAGGAGTGTGGAACCTTGGCTTGGGGCGGCTGTCTTCCTGCCCGCGTGTGGTTCCTCTCGCGTCACGGTCGGCCCGTCTCTCGTCGTGGGCGTGTGAATGGTGCGCGGCGCATTGCAGCTCGAAATTCTCTGTCAACCCCTTATCAGTGGCCTACCTTATCACAGACCAATTCAGACCTTATTGGTCACCCCGTGCCCGTATAAATCTCAACGTTCATCCTACAATGTCCCATCATGAGGGAGAAACACAAATACAGAGACAAACTTTTTTTTTTTTGCCCGTATTGAAACGGCTGTGCGCCGTATGGACCTGATAACTCAAATTTCCCTGTACAAGAATACGGGGTAAACCGTGATGGGTTGACATCTATGAAATTATTATCATCATCAAATGCACAAATCGAAACGGCTGCGCCTTTGCCGAGCACGCACACGGGCGGTGCGGCAACATTTGGTGCCTCTTTTTAATTTTTGTTCCTCCCCCCCCCTTCCGCCGTGTTAGGCTGAGCGAGGCGAACCTGCCGTGGGTGAGCGGCCAGCTCGAGGAGCTGTTCCTGCGCCACAGCCGGCACGACGTGACCAGCACGCTGACCGGCGCCGTGCTTGCCGCGTGCGTCACGCCGGCCCCCACTCCCGAGCGGCTGCTCGGGGAGCACGCGATGCTCGTCTCCGCGCTGCACCACAACGTCGGCGTCGAGGTGACACAACGCGTGTGCCGTGACCCCCGCGTGTGTGCGTGCGATCGTCGCGGGGAGTGTGGTGGTTTAGCTCGCTGCGCGAAAAAATCGGCGGCCCGAGTTTGATTCCCGCTCGCGGCCATCAACACCAGTGATGATTATCTGAACCGGTGATGGGCCTCCTCTAGGTCGACTCAGCCCCAAATGCGTATCTGGTGCGGTGCATGAACATCGCCACTGGGGACGCAAAGGCAGTCGGTCGGTCGGGTGTCGTGTTGGCCACCCACATCCTCGTGTGCCGTTGCCGGCCTTCATAGGTGCTGCTCGCTAACAGCGCTCGCCCCAACGCTCTCCACGTTGGGGCGGGGTGGGGGAACGACCTTTGTAATTTTGTTGTTCTGCATGCGGCAGATCGGCGCCGCTTTCCTCGAGGCTCTGGCCAAGCGCTTCGACGCGCTCCACCGCGCCCGGGACGGCGGCGACGACGACGGCGGCGGCAAGGAGTGCGACAACGCGGCGGCGCTGCTGGCCCAGCTCTACCTGACACGCATGGTGCACTGCTCGCTGGTGCTCGACGTCCTGCGCCGGCTGGTCGCCTCCTTCGGCGAGCGCGACCTCGACGCGGCGCTGCTGCTGCTGCGCTCGAGCGGCACGACGCTGCGGCGCGACGACCCGCTGGGGCTGCGCGAGCTCGTGGCCGAAGCGCAGCGCAAGGCCGCCGCCGTCGGGGGGGGGGCGGCCGCCGGAGGGGCGCGAGCCGACGGCACCGCGCGCGACGGGACCAGGGTGAGCGGGCGATTGTTTTATTTTGTGGTGGGCGGCACGAAACGGTGGGAATGGTCCGGAATCACCTCGGCGATTTCACGGAATCTCTCCGATTAGCACGGTCGGCTGCGTACGGTGCGAAAGAAGTTCAACGTGCATGAAATGAGTGTAGCACCCGGCAGTCCGATATAGATATCTCTCTACAGGCAAGATTCCCCTTTTTACGACGTTGCAACGCGATCCTTGAAACCCCGTCGTCGTAAATCGGACCACTATTTTCCCCACAGAGAGTAGAAACGTCACTTGCCGATGTGTTTTTTCATTTTATCGGCCGTGTTTAACGGCGTTTGAGTAGATTAAAAAATCCACACCAACGCTTGAGGATAACTAAAGCCCCACGCCGAGTCAACATCGGACAGCAGGCCGACTCTGTTGTTCAGACACTGTTTGGGAGTCGTGTGGGATGATGCGTCCGGCATCAAGTTTCTGCGTCGTCAATCGATCCACGGTGGCGTCGTATAAACCTCGTGAATGTGGATCGTCGTAGTAAACCAGAGGCCACCTGTGTATGTAATTCACAAGTCGCTGTCCATCACACTGCATCTACTACCAGGTCTGCGAATATGCGTAACATATAAATACATATATAGCATTGCTTTGATATTTTTAATTAAATGAACATGTGTGTATGTACGTGTAGTTGGTGTGTTTATGTGGGGGGGTGTAAGTGTGTGTCGGGGCAAGTGCTCGCAAACAGCACTTGCCTCCCAACAGTCTGTTCGGGCTATACAGGCGATCTTTGTGTTTGTGGGTAGCGGCAGTGCAGTGGTGAGCGCTACGCTGCGCTACTACGAACCCGACGACCCGAGTTCGATTGCCGCTCACGGCCAACACCAGCGACGATTATCTGAACCGGTCCTGGGCCTCCCTTAGGTCGAATCGGTCTTAAATGAGAACCCGGTGCGGTGTGTAGTAAACATCGCCACTGGTGCCGGTGACCCATCGCCCGCGTGCGTCCGTGCCAGCCTTCAGCGGCGCCGCTCGCGAAAAAACACTCGCAAACCCCAGCGGTCTGTTAAAGGCTACGTGGGTAGGGGGGGGCATCCTTGTATATTCGCGTGTATTTTTTTCAACGCAGGTGCGCTACCTCCTGGACACGATGCTGGCGCTCAAGAATAACGACGTGCGCAAGATTCCCGGTTACGACCCCAGCAACCTGGAGAGGCTGCGCAAGCTCCTCCGCTCCCTGGTGAGCGGCTCGCCCTTGGGGCGGTTTTTTGTTCGTGACCTTTTTTGTTTTATTTTGCTGCCGCTGTCTCTGTTTTTATTTACCTATTAACCCCGCGAGTTGATCCCGATCGTGATATCGGCCGTCATGTCACATGACAAATAGCATAATCCATTGAGAATCTATCGCGGGACGGTGCAATCTTGGAATCCACAGGAGTAAAGTTGGACTTACGAACAGACCTCTGGAACCTTACTCGTTTGTCTGTAGAGGAGTCCCTGTGCGTTGAACTCCTCTGGCACCGTACGTAGCCAACCGTGTTAATCGACGGTACGCCCCCATCCCCCCCCACTCTCCGCCGTGTTCCTAGGTGCGCTCGCAGGCCGGTGGCGACAGTGACCGCGTGCTGCGCGTGTCGCTGGAGCAGCTGCTCTCGGCGGACCGCGTTGGGCGCTGGTGGATCGTCGGCTCGTCGTGGAGCGGGGCGGCGCCTGCGACCACGGGCGCCGACGAGGGGCAGCCTGAGCTGCCGGTCGGAGGGGAGGTGAGCGTTTTGCGTATGCAGCTGCGGCGGCGTGAAATGTCAAGATGTTGAAGCCAGCGGGGAGGAAGCTTGCCACCAAACGTGGAACCCCTTCACTACCTCTACCCCAGTGTGCATTGATTCTTGAGAGCATTCAATTGGGCATTTAGGCACTTTCCTTCTCCTGCAGGGATATCAGAGATTAGGAAGACACCAGGGGGTTCTAGAGTTTATTGAAGCAGTTTATTGAAACACGTGGTTTAGACGGGTTTCCATTGCACTGTAATCTGTAATGTGTTTGTGCTGGCATCAACCTCTCATATCCTCTGAGTACCTGAATCGTCTTGTTAATAAAATACTTTAGACACTCCGGTTGTCGTCTGACAACACTGGGTGTAATTACCAGCGAAACGTCGTACTCGAATTGCAAATGTTGTGGGTTTACTCTCCAACACACCGGTGTGCTGAACTAGTCACGAATTGGCATGTTTTTCTTTCGTGACAAACCTTACTAATTGGTTGCGTGGGGTGGTGGCGGGTTTTAACGACACGTTTAGACTCACGTGATCTAACCCAAAAACCTCTATTGTGGAGAATACTTTTGAAGCCAACGACAGAATTTCTCAGCAGCGCTCAACGTATCCGACATTTCGGAAACCTCCCCCGCAGACTCGGTAACAACGCACGGTGAACATCCTAACGAATCTGGTGGCAACCCGGCGTGCAGATGAGCGCCAAGATGATGGAGCTGGCGCGCAAGCAGAGGATGAACACGGACATTCGGCGCGGGATCTTCTGCGTGCTCATGACGAGCGAGGACTACGTGGACGCCTTTGAGAAGCTCGTGCGGTGAGGGTCCAGAGTTGAAGAGTCCGTCGTGTATCACGATTCCGCGGAGGTGTCGAGAAAATTTTCATAGTAATGACAAAAACACACAGGGGCTGCGATGGATTTTGTTTGCTCATGCCACTGCTGGCGGAAGGGTTTCTACTCGCGGGAGCTCGAAGAAGAGCGTATTTTGGCCTACTCTTTCACGTTGGCCGGATTTCTTTTCGAGGTGGGAGTATGGGGGGGCACTTTAGCCCACCGCACGCGGCCTGCCGATCGACCAACTGGCCTATAGATCCCGGTTTAACCACGGGTGGCTGAATCCCAGATACAAAACCCAGAATCTCTCTGTCTCTCACCCTTGAGCCACCACCTAACCACCTCCCTAACGATGATCCCACTTCTTATTGTGAGGCCGGAGCCTGGACGATTGATCAACTGTTGAATCGACTATTTCTTTTATTAATTGTGGTCAATTAAACACAAGCGGCCACCGCAACATCCCGCCCAACAAGCAATGCCCAGCGCGATGCAGCCGGTGATACCCACGGCATCGCCAAATCTCCCCCGTCACCTCCCGTCCCCCGGCACGTGCGGGAACGGGGGTGATTTCCCCTACCCCTCCCCACCCGCCGCCCTCCCCAACTGATTTCGTGTTGTCTGACGATGAGTCTGATAATAATCGAATTGATAATTGGTTGAGGAGTCGATGTCTGAGATAATCGAATAGATTTGAAGTTTTCGTGACTGCGGGGATCCATACTCTTTGGTTCTTTCGGTAAAGTCCCTTGAGGCTTGCATCAAACGTCCATTGGATCTGCGGGGGTGTTTTTTTTTTCGAACGTCTCGGTGCCGAAATATTACGAGATCTGCCTGGCCGTGTTCTCTCGGTGAAAGGGTACAAACCCTTTCCCCGAGGTGGCCGAGGATGGCTCGGAGGACAGAGCGCTGAGCTCTGGCGTCGTTAGGATCCTGGGTTTGAATCTTAGTTTCGGCTATACCTTTCCTATACTTTGCACCCCTGTCGTGTTTTTGTATTGTTCGTTGTTGTCGCCTTCTGACCTGGCCCCTTACAGGACATCTGTGAAATAGAGCTTTGCAGCTCATCGGATTTCTCCAGGATAAATAAATATTCAGATTTCTGACAAGTTTGTAGCGAGTTGGTGGTCTCGGGGCCTGGTCACCAATGACTGCATGAAAAAAACTACCGATAATTATATACGGTTCTGCAATTGATTTGACTACATCCCAGCGCTGAGAGTCAAAAATAACCACGCGGACAAACGTTTATTTCCCATAGCAGGGTGCGAGTGGAAGAGTTTGCTGCCCACTCTATATTGTGAGCCAGGTCACTTGAAGGCATCTGGGGGGGGTCGCTCTGCGATATCCGCTTCCACGGGGGCCCTTCGTCATGCACCAAGTTGTTCGCTCTGCTGTGGGGAGATCCCCTTTGGGATGCTTTCGTGTCGCGACGTGAGAACGAGCGCAGCGGGGATTTGAAAAAAAACTATGCGAGAGAGGAAATCGGGGAAGAATGTTGTTCTGGAGGAACTCGCGCGGCGGTCGGGGCTGACCCGTCGCACCGCGACGCTTCTTTGCAGCATGGGGTTGAAGGAGAAGCAGGAGAGGGAGATCGTGCACGTGCTTATGGACTGCTGCTTGCAGGAGAAGTCCTTCAATCCCTACTACGCCTACCTCGGACAAAAGCTCTGCCAGTTTGACCGCAGGTTTAAGGTGAGCGTGCCTCTTGTGTTTTCAAATATCTGTAGATGTACAGGGTTTTATGGATGATATTGGTCGCGAAAGCCTACGTGTTAAACACATATATAGATATTGTCAAGGTAAGAGAAGAGAGCGGTTTAAACTAGCAAGTCTGACAGCTTCGATTGGCAATAACCGACGATCTGATTTTGAATTGCATTTTCCTCGTGGATTTCTGTTTTTGCCGACGCCGGAAAACTGACAAAAAAACGGGCCCTCGTGTGCACGCTCGCGCGCGACCAGATGACATTCCAGTTCAGCATGTGGGATCGCTTCAAGGCCCTGGGAAACCTGAACGCCACAGCCACCACCAACCTCGTCAACGTGCTGAGTCACCTGCTCGTCCACAAGGGCCTCTCCGTGACCGTGTTCAAGGTGAGCCGCGCGCAGAGCGTAGCCCCTTGAATGTGTTGCGTGGTAGAAAAGGACGCTGAAGCCGGTCGTGTAGGGGCTGACGCCAAACCGTTTATTTAGGGCTTACGCCTAACTCGGGGGAAGGGGTTAACACAGAGTTCTTAACTAATCTCCCCAGGGGAAGAGTACTGGGAGTTCCCTACACCCCACCAGGCTATCGGGCTCTTCCCACAGCACTGACCGAGGGTTCAGCCAACTCGGCCAGCCGGGTAAAGTAGCCCCTTTAGCCTGGCTCTCAAACCCCCTATCCTGGAGCCTCCTACTTCCTAACCACTCACTCCTCTGACTCTCGGCGAAGACCCCGTCCACGTCACGGGTCTCCCCTCAAATACCCCGGGGGCCATGGCTATTATTCCCCACAAACTTTGCTTTTGTGACCAGGACACCAATGCCAAGTTAATAATGAATTCAACCTGGCTCTGTGGAGACGAGGGCTGGTAATTTGAATGCTTTTAAGTTCATAGGTCCCTTGACCCACCGACACTCCCGAAGTCCTCTCGCGGCTAGCAGACCGTGATTATTGGCATCTATTTCCTGAATGTATTGCCGCTGGCGTGCGCAAGGATAGAATCGCACCGTCGGCGCTCATCAGCATTCGCGTCGCCGCTGTCGCCCTCTTCTCGCACAAACAAGGCGCTGGAGTTCAGCGAGATGGACAAGCTGTCGGTGAAGTTTCTCCGTCAGGTCCTGCAGAAGCTGCTCCTGGAAGCCTCCGAAGAGCATCTGCCCTGACATATTTTCAAAGTAAGAAAAGCGCGGCGCACGGGTTTTTTTTTTGTAAACGAGCGAAGAAAAGCGTGCGCGTGCGTGGACGCCTGCGGAGAGAGCGCCATCTTGCAGTGGAACGACAATAGGGCCAAGGCGTATATGCAGGTAGTCCCCCGAGTTACGATGTTTCGATCTTACGATGGCGATAGCGATACGACAAAATTGCCATCAACAACCTAACATCGTTCAAGTGTGCAGACGACTGACAGAATCTTGGTGAGTGCAGTGCAATGTGATACGTTACGATACGTTCAATGCATGTATGATGCGTAGCTTTAGCGGTTTCATTTTAAGGTTACCACGATACGACACGTTCAATGCATGTTAAAGGTTTTTTTTTATAGCAGATAGGATTGTTTCCTGAAAAAACTTTCTATTAAATTGCAGTTGATATAGGTAGGCTCAGAATTTACCTTGTTTTTTTTACTTTACATTTCACTGAGCAATACAGTATTGTAATTAATAAATACATACAGTATATAGTTTATACAGTACGGTACTGTACATTGCTCTGTTTTGCTAAATTATTACCATTCTTGAAGACTCCTGGGTAGGCGAGGCCATCTTCGACTTACGATATTTTCCACTTACGATGGGGTCGTCGTAACGCATCTCCATCGTAAGTGGAGGACTACCTCTCCATCGGTTGTTTACGCGTTCACGGAAGACGTTGCAATGGGTGCCGCCCGAAAACCCATGGGGAGGGCTACGTGGGGCAACCACAAAATTGCTTTGTTGTCGTGCCGTTCTCTGCCCGGCGTTACAGGGCGGCGGGCAACCCCAAGCTCGCTCTGCTTCGGGAGGGACTCAAGATTTTCATGCGGCACTTCATGCTGCGCGGAGCCGCGTCGGGGGACGCGGACGAGGCCGAGCTGCTGCGGCAGAGGATCGAGGTGGCGGAGAAAGCCCTGGAGCAGGAGCGGAACCCGGCCGTGAATCTGTGATGGTCGCACGCGGTTACCGCTGCTATTGTCGCCTCCACAAGAAGACTGCGCCACCAACCCTGTCATTCGGTCAGGGAGGCCTAGTGATACGGCGAAACCGGTGATGTGTCGTGCAAAACTCGAGCTCCGCGACAATCCCACCGTCCGTTTTTTGATGAATGTTGGTTCAGCGCCGATGAGCTTTGCTCATTTACGTTTTTAAAAAATATTTTATATTTTCTGATGAAATATTTATTGAATTGCGATGCTCGTGGTAACTTACGCATTAAATAGGTGCTCTCCAAAACGTGCTCTCGAGTAATTGAGTCACCCGGTCTGACTTTTGATGTGTTTGTCGTGCTGCGCCACTCCGATGGGTATTTGTTCCACGGAAAGTCACGGTGAGCCAGTTGCCCATCTAGTTCACAACAGAAAAAACTTCAAAGGGATGTGTACGGAAGAAGAGGCATCAACGGAACAACACGTGAGGGGTGCATAGGCAACAGCAGTGCTTAAAATAACCAAAAAATAAGCCACAAAACAAGAACGAGGTAATGAACACCTCCGATCAGCATGGTTGGCCATGTACGGTGCGAAAGAAGTTCAACATACACATGGGACAGGTGATTGTCCACGTCTTTAATGTACTGCCACCTCCTGACGAGAGGGTATGGCTCCTCGCAGGCCACGGGAAGGACGTTTCACAACATTTGTCTGATCCCCCAGCCCTCGCCTCCACAGTGCTGCCTTGCAGGTGTGTGCCGCCACCATTACCAACACCCAGCTAGCTATAAAGAGATAAAATTATAATTTCGCCATTCTATTGCTTTTGAGATTTAGAATTACAGTTCAACCACTTCCCAAGTTCATATTTCGAGCAGTGGGACGCTACGTGTTGCATGGTTTTGAGTTTGCCAGGGCTGGCTTCGGTGGCAAAGGGATATTTAACCCAGTCCTGGGGCATGCGCTTCAACATTCTGACCAGCATGCGGAGGTCGTCAGCAGCAGAGTAACAAAGGGCCTGGCGATGTTACTTTTGTTATCGCAAACATCAATTGTAAATACTGTAAATGTAGAACTTTGTTGCGGTGATTAAATTCGTATCTTTGTGAAAAGTAAAACGCTTTTATATTACGTTTACAATTTACGTGTGCCTTGTACGCTCTCGGTGAATGACGGTAAACACATTCCGATCACGAATATAATTTCAGTTGCCCTGACATGTCTGTGCAATAGAAGACTATGAATGGAAAAATGTGATGGCTTTTTCGAAACTATTCAAAACATTGACTGTCTCTTTGAGATGGCTAATATTAAGTGTCAGGAGGTTGCTGATTTTGGATTACCTCTAAGCAACACAGTCTAATGCCTGGAAGAGTCAAATTATGAAATGGATATCTCTACTGCACATCATTCCTGCTGTATAAAATGAATAACGTGTTTTTCTCGTGCAATGCAGTAACCTCCAAATAGGACGGTTGGCTACGTGCGTTGTGAAAGAGGTTCAACGTCGTGAATTTGAAGTGCATTGCAAGCGGGGAGAACAGTTTGAAAACAAACTCTTTTTTTTCTCCTATGGTGATCATTTTTAAGATTTGCCAAACCATTGGACGTATTGGCGGTGCACCATTAACGCACCAGGGTCCTCGTAAAACCGTCGGGTGATGTCGCTGTTGCCCCTTGACTGAGCTGCAGATTCTCGCACGAGAAGTCACCTTCTGTTCAGCAGCCGCTTTCCCATTCGAACGTGTGCCTGAATCTCGGAACCGTCTAAGTGTAGGTCACGAGGAGTAAAATCTTGCCTTTGGAACACGGGAGCCAAGCAATCGTCACCAGGCTGGGTGCTGCTGTACGGGAACAAATCGTGAAGCTTCATGTTCAGCTGCTCATGTAACATTCGACTTCCGACATCACGACAACTGATTTTGGCACATTCACACTCGGATTGCCATCCACGAGGTACAACAAATTGCTGTTTTATACTGCACACCGGTGTACCGCCAATACGTTAATTTACCAAATTACTCTTTCCGAAATCCTTGCGATTAACAAAACGCTGACAATTTCTCAAATGAAAACAGAGAAAATTCACCTTATAAGTCGTAGAGGCGCTGATACACACCGACTCTTAACTGAGGGATTCCATCTGGCCGGGTTTGACCCAGTCATTCTGAGAATTGACATCTGTTTCACAGGTGGAAGGAATTGATTTGTACTGTTAAGATCTGGTGGTAGTATTGTGCTGAACTTTTATCACCGCAGTTTTCTGCCAAGTGTCAATAGACCTTGGACTGAGAGATGTTTTGCCAGGTAAGGCTCACTGAGCTACATATATATTTTTCAGAAGTGACCTGGCCACAAATGAAAGCTCAACGAAGTGGCTTATTAACATGTGGGAATGTATAGCGTGTTTTTAAATGCAGAGGGAAAACCCGGAGGACCCGGAGAAAAATCCACGACCACGGGGAGAACATGCAAACTCCAAATATACAGGCTTCATGATCTAGATTGAACCCGCGACCTGCATACCAAGTGAGGTAGCTAACATATCGTCACCGCAGCGCCCCAATATATGTTCGGGTTTGGTCTAAACTGTCGTGGAATAGTTTGCAACCCTATTACAGTACTCAAAACGTGGACATTTTTACTCGGATTATGGTTCATGCCAAGGCTTAGTGGCACCTGTGTTTGTCATTGACAAGCAAAGTCAACTTTGTGGCGCGAGTTTCCATCAGGCTCGGCAAATATTGACCAAGAAGGACGACCCACGGCAATGATCCGGCAACTTGGATGTGGCGGTTTGTGGATCGTGAAAATATTTAATCCGTTTTGCACCTGCGGCAAATATGTGCCCGATTAACAGTAGAGGTGCGTATGCAGTACATGTATACAATGGGTTGGGATTGGGTAGAACTCGTCATGGTTCTAAGGGATAGTTGCTGACAGATGGCCAAGCACATTTAGCGGTTTGACAGCCAAGGCATGGGATGGAAGGAACGCGTCCCGAGAAGGACGTCCCAATCAAGGAGATGGAGCGATGAATTCAGCTCGTGTACGGACGGGAGCTAGGTGGATCATCTGCATCGGGTGACCGTGAGAGATGACCAAGGCTTTGGTGAGTCCTTCAGCAGTGGGTATATCATGACAATGATGAACCGTCTAATTAAATAAATACTTTAAATTAGTCAAAGGTATTGCTGTAGAAGAATACTGCATCTCAACTGGACCCAAAGACTAACCGACGTAGAAGAAAAGGGTTGCGCATACAAGAAGACTTTGATGATGAATATACAGGCAGTGATAAGAAATAAACTTGCACCAGCCCCTCCCCACCCTCCTCTCTCCACCCAGCCCCACCCCTCCCATTTTTGGATGCACGACGGACGGACGGACACAATAATCCCCTGTGGGCTGGTGGAACCAAGTGGTTCCTCGCAGTATAAATCTCGATTTATCCTGCCCGCGTGCATCTGCGTGATGATGGTGATGGTGAAATGCCCTCTCGTGGCCGAGTTAAGACACAGCAGGAGCTTTTGCCCCCGTGTATGTGTGTCACGTGAGCATTTTGTGTGTGTCACGTGAGCACGTTGTGTGTGTGTCACGTGAGCACGTTGTGTATGTGTCACGTGAGCACTTTGTGTGTGTCACGTGAGCACGTGTGTGTGTCACGTGAGCACGTTGTGTGTGTGTCACGTGAGCACTGTGTGTCACGTGAACACTTTGTGTGTGTCACGTGAGCACGTTGTGTGTGTGTCACGTGAGCACGTTGTGTGTGTCACGTGAGCACGTTGTGTGTGTGTCACGTGAGCACGTGTGTGTGTCACGTGAGCACGTGTCACGTGAGCACTTTGTGTGTGTCACGTGAGCACTTTGTGTGTGTCACGTGAGCACTTTGTGTGTGTCACGTGAGCACTTTGTGTGTGTCACGTGAGCACTGTGTGTGTGTCACGTGAGCACGTTGTGTGTGTCACGTGAGCACGTTGTGTGTGTCACGTGAGCACGTTGTGTGTGTCACGTGAGCACGTTGTGTGTGTGTGTCACCTGAGCACGTTGTGTGTGTCACGTGAGCACTGTGTGTGTGTCACGTGAGCACGTTGTGTGTGTCACGTGAGCACGTTGTGTGTGTGTGTCACGTGAGCACGTTGTGTGTGTCACGTGAGCATTGTGTGTGTGTCACGTGAGCACGTTGTGTGTGTCACGTGAGCACGTTGTGTGTGTGTGTCACGTGAGCACTTTGTGTGTGTGTGTCACGTGATCACTTTGTGTGTGTCACGTGAGCACTTTGTGTGTGTGTGTGTCACGTGATCACTTTGTGTGTGTGTGTGTCACGTGAGCACTTTGTGTGTGTGTGTGTCACGTGATCACTTTGTGTGTGTCACGTGAGCACTGTGTGTGTGTCACGTGAGCACGTTGTGTGTGTGTGTCACTTGAGCACGTTGTGTGTGTGTGTCACGTGACCACTTTGTGTGTGTGTGTGTCACGTGATCACTTTGTGTGTGTGTGTGTCACGTCATCACTTTGTGTGTGTGTGTCACGTGAGCACGTTGTGTGTGTGTCACGTGGGCACTGTGTGTGTGTCACGTGACCACTTTGTGTGTGTGTGTGTGTCACGTGATCACTTTGTGTGTGTGTGTCACGTGATCACTTTGTGTGTGTGTGTGTCACGTGAGCACGTTGTGTGTGTGTCACGTGAGCACTGTGTGTGTGTCACGTGAGCACGTTGTGTGTGTGTGTGTCACGTGATCACTTTGTGTGTGTCACGTGATCACTTTGTGTGTGTCACGTGAGCACTGTGTGTGTGTCACGTGAGCACGTTGTGTGTGTGTGTCACGTGAGCACGTTGTGTGTGTGTGTCACGTGACCACTTTGTGTGTGTGTGTGTCACGTGATCACTTTGTGTGTGTGTGTGTCACGTCATCACTTTGTGTGTGTGTGTCACGTGAGCACGTTGTGTGTGTGTCACGTGGGCACTGTGTGTGTGTCACGTGACCACTTTGTGTGTGTGTGTGTGTCACGTGATCACTTTGTGTGTGTGTGTCACGTGATCACTTTGTGTGTGTGTGTGTCACGTGAGCACGTTGTGTGTGTGTCACGTGAGCACTGTGTGTGTGTCACGTGAGCACGTTGTGTGTGTGTGTGTCACGTGATCACTTTGTGTGTGTCACGTGATCACTTTGTGTGTGTCACGTGAGCACTGTGTGTGTGTCACGTGAGCACGTTGTGTGTGTGTGTCACGTGAGCACGTTGTGTGTGTGTGTCACGTGACCACTTTGTGTGTGTGTGTGTCACGTGATCACTTTGTGTGTGTGTGTGTCACGTGACCACTTTGTGTGTGTGTGTCACGTGAGCACGTGTGTGTCACGTGACCACTTTGTGTGTGTGTGTCACGTCATCACTTTGTGTGTGTGTCACGTGACCACGTTGTGTGTGTATCACGTGAGCACTTTGTGTGACGTAGCAGCGGCTGCCTTTATTTTATTTTTAAAACGAAGCTGACGCTAAGAGGCTGCCACCAGAACGAAAAGCGCCGAGGCAAAGTTTCTCGTGTGAGTTGAGTGTCGCTTATCGTTGTGTGTGTGCCCCCTTTGTCAATGTTGATTGTTAGGTTTTTTTTAAACTAAATGTTGTTAATTTGTGTTGCTGGGGCCCAGTTGAGGCTTTGAAGCCTGTGGTGGCTGCGAGGCTCGGATTGCCCTAGGCCGCAGTTTCGGCTCGTTATAATTATGTAACGATATTAATAATAATAATACGGTGTAATGCCATCGTTATTTATCGTTAACATCGGGAGGCTGCCGGTTGTTTTTTTTTTATAAATTATAGTTATTTTTGTTGGCACGGCTCAAGTATAATGTTTGGTGCTTTGTGTTTACATTGTAAACGCGCGTAGCTAACATACTGTTGTGATTACCGTGCCTTATAATGTAATAATAATCTTAGGTTCTTTCGGTAAAGTTACGTCGGTAAAAAAAATAATAATAAATGAAAATAACTAAATTATTTTGACTTTACCGAAAGAACCTAAGAGTATGAATCATTGCAGTCACGAAAGCTTCAAATCTAGAAGTACTAATCGTCGCGTAAGTACCATTATTGACGATCGTGTTTAGTTTTTTGAGTTATTTTTAAATTATTATTTTGGCAATCAGCTGTTGGATGAATGTGGTTGTTCACGGGGGTCTTGTTCATTGACCATACTTCACCACGCTGGTCACTGCAATTTTTCCTTTCAAGTTCAGGGGATTCCCTGACCGGCTCGCCACTGATGTTAACCGGGTTCAACCCCACAGTAAAAGTCATAGTATTACTCAATTAAAGTTCGAATTGTTTGTTGAATTAGACTCTTTAACGATCGTTTAAAGTGCACGCAACTCACATAGTGGACACGCGTGTAATATTTGTGTTTATTTTAATTTGGTTGACAGCAGAGGGCATAGATCTTCTTTGGTTCTTTCGGTTAAGTCACGTCTAAAGATAAAATAATAAATTAAAATTAAAATAATAATTTATTAAGTCACGTCTAAAGATAAAATAATAAATTAAAATAATAATTAATTATTGTATCTTTAGACGTGACTTAACCGAAAGAACCAAAGAATAATTCCTGCAGTCACGAAAGTTCCAAAATTAAGCAGAGGGCATGGCGACTAAAGCCATTGTGCTGTACTTCTATGCGCCCACGTCTCTTGCTTCCCGCATTCAAACCGCACTGACCAGTGCGGTGAGGTATGGTCAAATAACCCCCCACGATACACGCGGCGTGGGGAGGGGTTCCTCGTACGGCAGTGGATTGGCAAAGAGCAGTGCCACGTACACTGAAATTTAAATCAATATCTTGTCAATTTCATAGTTGTTAAATACTGTATCATCGATATTGCCATGATTTACAAGTAACAATACCCATATTTCGATTTAAAGCTTTCGTGACTGCAGGAATTCATCTTCTTGGTTCTTTCGGTAAAGTCACGTAGAAGGAAAATAATAAAATAATAAAACATAATAAAATAATTTTCACGACGTTTCGGCCACAACGCAAGCAGCCGTCTTCAGGTGGAGAACAGGCCTGTCAAGTAGACAGAGTCTGAATGGCCATTCCTTCTACGTGACTTTACCGAAAGAACCAAGAAGATGAATACCCATATTCTTGGTTCTTTCGGTCAAGTCACGTAGAAGGGAAATAATAAAATAATAGAAATATAAAACAATATTTATATTATTTTATTATTTCCCTTCTACGTAGAAGAGAAATAATATAAATAGAAAACAATATTTATATTATTTTATTATTTCCCTTCTACGTGACTTTACCGAAAGAACCAAGAATATGAATCCCTGCAGTCACGAAAGCTTTAAATCTAAATTTAACAATACCCAATTTAGTTTTTTGACCAATCCATTGCTTATGAAGCAGAAATTGTTGTACTCTGATTTGTTTTTTTTGACATGGTTTGGGACACGTTCCCATTAATGCGTGGGTTATCTGTGATTAACTTATTGGCGGCAGCTTTTGGAGCTGTTCATCCAGCACTGGACTCATCATGGCTGATGATGGTGATGGGTCACTAATTTGGAGAGCCGTGGTTAGCACGCTGCACTCGTAAACTTGGCGACCTGAGTTCAATTCATGATCGCTGCTAACATCCGTTGTGAGCCGATACCCCCCTGACCCCCCATTAACTCGGAACTGATCAGCGTGGTGAAGTATGGTTAAACACCCCCATGACTTGGCATGGGGAGGCCTTCACCCATTATTCAATTGATGAATGGCTGCTAAATATATTCGGTGGACTCTTGATTATCCGCGTGCGGTCTATCCAGTTTACGGATTAACTACACCTGACATTTTTACATTCATTAATAACTCATGGATTTTCCCTTAAGCCCAAATTTATAATCTAAGAACAGTTATACATTCCTTGTTATTCTTGGCAATGTTTATTATAAAACACGTGCTTAAACCCAACAAATATGTGCTTCGGTGGATCTGACATCCACGTGATCACCTCTATAGTACAGTAGTTGCATATCTTTACAACATTGGGCGGAGTTTGATTTTGTTTGGCATGGCTCTGCTGTCCACTGAGTGGGCCGAGTCTTCTCGGCGGGATCAGGGAAGTATTATACGGGTAGGAACGAAGTGAACCAGCCTACAATAGATTATATCGTCCGTCCGATGTCCGATTAGGTGTAGCAACATCGCCCCCTACTGCAAACACTTGGCAGGACCCTACAAAAACCTTTAGACTCTATGAGGCTTTCCCGTCTAAACAAGTGTAGCCATTCATTTGTTCGTTCCTACCAGCCCACCCCGCAGGGACCTGTTCACTGAACACAATACATTCTTTATTACAAATGTTTGTTTTGTTCATTAGCAAACTATATTATCTTAACTTAAACGTAATTTATACAAATGTTAGTTGTTCATGGCATGGAGCTCTGCGGAATTTTTTTTTTATTATCTGCGATTTTGAATGATCCGCGGCCGTCCTCGTCGTTAGCTCAGATAATCGAGTCCTGTATGTATATTTAAAAAAAAAGTGATTTACCATTGCTAAGGAATTAATATGTTATTTTGCAGGAGAGGAGGATGAGGAGGAAGCAATGGGGCAGGCGAACTGCATCTGCTCTCGAGGAATCTTCTCCATCGACGACAAACGCTACTTCTTCATTGAGCAGCTTGGCGAAGGGTAGGACATTGGTTTTTGGAGTACCTGCCAAGCTTTTATATGAGCTGTAGACAACGTGGTATTCATACCCAGGAGTGCATGACAATTCTAAGTCGAGGGTGTTAGATTGGAGATAGGATCCTTGAAGTTTATTCCCCCTCGCTTCGTCATGGATAAGTGGAGTTCTACTGTATCATAATTATATCAAACGGATATAACTATAGGCTACTAACTCAATACTGAGGCTAGCAGCATTTCACCTTGTTGAAGCGAGGAAAACGCACACTCAAAAATATCATGATTATTGTCCAAAACATTGTGGGGTGTCTCTTTGCCTAAAAATGCCGGGGGTGTCCAGACCACCACGACACCCACAGCGTCTCGACCACACTTTTATGATGGTACTCCCAGCAGCTGGGATCTAGCATAGTTTGGTCGGTATGTGCCCTGGTGCGAGGAATCAAATAGGGCCCCTGTCCATCTTCAGAGCCTGGTGCCTGTGCCCCTCTGGTCTGCGGGCCTCTGTGCAGTTGCAGTGCCCACATATTCAATAGCTAAGCTACTGCCCAGTAGTAGATCTCACTTGCAAAAGATGATTTTTCGTGACAACGGACTGTTACCTGATTATACACTCATCTTTAAATTATTCGTCACGGTTTAACCGAGTTGCGGATTAACGTTGCTCATTCAGCATTTTGTGCATGTGCTGCTTACATTATTTGCTGCGTCTCCTTAATTGCCGTACCCACTATTGCCACGCATTGTCTCAATGACTTTAATAAACGATAAAAACAGACGACGCAATCCCTATCTTCACCCCAATTCTATGGAGGAGAACCATACATGAGTTTTAACAACCTAATTTTCATGTTTTGCATTATCTGTGTCTTTATTGGGTTCATCCCTTCCCTCCTTTACTGTAGTTAGGCGAGAGTTAACTCCTGTGCAGACGTAAATTTTTTTTTTACTTTGTCTCAATGGACTCATTGAGACAAAGTAACTTTTTTTTTAACGGAGGCTTAGGTCACAAAGCAATGCAGTAAATGATTTATATGTGAATAAAAAAAAAGTTTAAAATTAAACATTAAATAATTAACACTTAAGTATTTCATTCAAATAAAACAGAACAACCAATACTAATGAACTAAGCTTTTGTAGTAACTTGCCAACAAGTGGTCCATATAAATGTGCCGTTAAACCCGCCACCACCCGACACAGTCCATTAGTAAGGTTTGTCACTTAAACAGAACATGCCAATTCATTACTAGTACAGCACACCGGTGTGTTGGAGAGCAAATCAACAACATTACAATCCAACACCCCGGTGTGTTGTACCGGTAACGAATTGGCACTTTTTGTTTACGTGACAAACCTTACTAATTGACTGTATCGGGTGCTGGTGGGTTTAACGACACATTTATATTTTCGCGATCTAACCCAAAAACCTATATTATGGATGATATTAGTCGCGAAAGCCTTCGTGTTAATATAAAGATTGCATGGCAAGCCACTAAATTGTAAGTGTTGTTTTTCCTTAACACTTCTTAGTAAAAACATTTGTATTGAAACAAAAACAATGCACCATAATGGCAAAACCTGAAGTTAAAACGAAAGTGTACGCCTAGGAGATAATTAAAGCCGACGCTTGTAATTTGAAATCGCCTTGAAAGGTGTATTTTCTCACTTAAAACGTGTGCTCGCAAACCGCTGTGTGCTTTTGCGAAATCTGTTCAATTTACTGGAGCTCAGCAGTTGGTTCTCAATCATGAGTGGGACAATTTGGAATCAGTTCAACCGTAAATTTTGTCTAATTTAATTCTCTTCACCGCTGGAGGTAATCACGGTTTTCTCAGTCGCTTGGAAATTCAAGTGCACGGGTAGTGAGCATGTGCGTTTCTTAATTTTCACAATCGCTTCAAAATGGGTCTGAAACTTTTCTTTTGAAAAAGACAAGGTAAATGGTTACTGTTTACTTTTAACTTGGCCCCATGCAGAGAAGTTTGATGAGAAATGTAAGCGTGGACATGCAGCAATTATGGAACTTTAATTTAGTTTTTTTGTAAGGGCTTTTTATTGATCCAACCACGGGGGGAGAGGGGGGGGTGATCAACTTCCGTGACAGGCGAATGGTGCTGGAACTGTAATTTCTAAAAAAAAATGTTGCCATGCATTTAACTAGTTGGGCAATGATGTGAGTGATCAGGGCCAAAGTTGACGATGTTTAATTTGTTTCTGCACAGCCAGGGACTGTGGTGTCAAGTGCATATTGTGGCATTGGACTGTTGGGGTTTGGTGGGCGGACGGGCGGGCGGGCGTGTAGAGATGCTTACAAGACTGCCTTTTATTTACTGCAAGTGGTGTGCGAGTGTAAATATTAGGGGTGTAACAGTGGATCAATTAACCGATTGTTAATTTTACTCTTCAGTTCTTGAACCCGCACTGACCAGCGCAGTGAAGTATGATCAAAAACCCTACATGACCGACATGGCGTTGGGGAGGTCTTAATCAGTTGGTAGATTAGTGGATTGAGAATGGCTGGAATTTAATTGTGTTTTGTTTCATGGGTAAACCTTGATATCCTGCAGCCACTAGAAGCAGCTGCAATGCCAAAAGAATAGCTTATTGAGTCAAATCGCAGCACTGAATTGAGACAATTCATCTTTGTACCGCCCGGAAATATGCTGATCCTTATGAATGAAAGCGTATTTGATTCAGAGCTGATGACTCTGATCAGTCAAGCTGGGGCGATCAACCTTTTCCTAACTGAGATCTTAACAGGACGTTTAATTACCTCGAGCAGCCCACATATTAACACAATGTAGCCCAAGTTGTATGACCATGCCCCGATGTTTGTTATCCAAGAATCACGCAAAAAATAACATCCGTGTCGACTACACTGTTCAGAGGCCCTTGCAGTGAAAGAAATTACTGAGCTTGTGAAGAAATAAAAAATAATTTACATCCCTTTGTCAATTCACCGATGAATGCAGGCCTTTCCGATGCAGTGTCAGTCGTTTTACCATACTTCACCACACTGGATAGTTGGTGAAAAGTTCGGCAGGGTGGGCCACTGATGATCATCAATGCTAGGCGTTGCTCTCCATCGCTGACTCAAACAAAATAAGTGGGTATATACTCTTTGGTTTTTTTGGTAAAGTCACGTAGGTAAATAAATAAATAATATTTTTATAATACTAAATTATAGAAATAAAATAATAAATCACGACGTTTCGAAGGCAACACAAGCTTCCGTCTTCAGGTGGAACCGTCACAGCACGCTTGCTGTATCAAGTAGAGAGAAGTCCCAAGAGACCCGACCTTATATATATACTGGTTAAGGGGGTGGAGGAGCCAGGGTGGGCCGCGGGAGAGGTGTTGTCGTGAGATGGTTAGGACGTCTGCTGCTTGTTGAGGTATATAAGTGGGTATATTCTACAGACGAGGTCCATCAGAGGGCAGAGCCGTGCTTTGAAAAGCGCTTCTGCTCTACCCGTGGTGACGCCGCCACCTTTCCCAAACAGCGGCTTCAGCTACGTGGACCTGGTGGAGGGGGCTCACAACGGCCGCTTCTACGCGCTAAAGCGCATCGTGTGCCACGATAAGGACGACCACAAGGGGGCGCTCAGGGAGGTGGAGATGCACCGCGCCTTCCGCCACCCCAACGTCCTCCCGCTGGAGGGCAGCCGCGTGGTGGAGCGGGGCCCCAAGTGCGAGGTCTGGCTGCTGCTGCCCTATTACCAGGTGCGTGCGTGGAGGGGTTTGCCGTGAGGCTGGGGGGTTTGTGAGGGGGGTGGGGTCTTTCACAGGAGAGCTGAAAGGAGTTCACATGAGCTCGCAAACCAACACCTTTTTCTTCTTGGTTCTTTCGGTAAAGTTACGTAGAAGGGAAGTAATAAAATAATAAAAAATAAAACATAATAAAATAATTCTCACGACGTTTTGGCCACAACGCAAGCAGCGTCTGACGCTATCTCCCCGACAGACCTGGTCTTCACCTAAGGACGGCTGCTTGCGTTGTGGCCGAAACGTCGTGAGAATTATTTTATTACTTCCGTTCTACGTAACTTTACCGAAAGAACCAAGAAGATGAATCCCTGCAGTCACGAAAGCTTTAAATCGAAATTTAAAAACTACAGGAGTTCACATGAGCTCGCAAACTAACACCTTTGTTAAAGACCAAACCCATACCTGTCAAACCCACACGGTTTACCCGCATTCTTGTACAGGGAATTTGAGTTTTTGGGTCCATAAGGCGTATAGCCATTTCAATACGGGCAGCAGAGTCGGGTTTGTTAAGTATATGCTGCTGGATTTACCGTGTCTTATTGGTTAAAGTGCTCCATTGAAATTACGCAACCCAGTACAATTTACAACGCAATACACTGCACAATGGGTTTGGGTATAGGTTCATTTAACGAAGGTTATTGCTGTACATTCCAACTAGAATGATGTTTCGATGGTTTCTATTTGGGAGAAAATGCGAGGAGGAAGTGGAGAGGGTTGGGAAGGGATGGGAATCAGGGGACACAAGCTGGTAGAGTGGCGTTGGTTTGATTGAGTCGGTATCGAGAGGGAGTCGCTCTACCAGCATGAACCCAAGTCTGTGTGAATGTAAATAGAATGAGTAATCAAACTGGGCTGTGGTCGTTACGGCTGGGCTACATTGACAGGAAGAATTATTGTTGTACTGCACTATGTTCCCAAATGTATGCCCTTTCGCCTTCACCAACCTTCATTGATCGGCGTGGTGAGGTATGGTCAAAACACATTCCTGCGGAGGGAGCTGGTAGGAACGTTGGGTTGCTGGGTCAATGGCCAGGGTCAACGGCGGCGTGGTGTATTCCGCAAATATTGCCCGACTGTGAGGGCGGGCACAAGCCGGCGTGAGTAGGTTAAACGTTGAGTGTTATAAGGGCACCACGGGGTGACCAGCCCCTCCCCACCCAGCCCCACCCCACCCAGCCCCACCCCACCCACCCTCCCCACCCAGCCCCTCCCCACCCTCCCCACCCAGCCTCTCCCCACCCTCCCCTCTCCACCCAGCCCGACCCCTCCCATTTTTGGATGCACGACGGACAGACGGACGGACACAATAATCTCCTGTGGGCTAGTGGAACCAGGTGGTTCCTACCAGTATAACCCCGATGGTGCACGCCACGGATAGGCCCTCATCCAGTAGGGGATTGACAAGGGCTGTGCATACGTACATACATGTGCCGTTGAATATCATGAATTGTCATATAAGATACCTAGGAAAGTGTACATATATGGGCCTTAGAAATGTATAATCATTCTCATCAAGTAACGGAGCATCCCAGGAGTGAATCACGTGAAAGTCCGACAATAACCTTATAAATTGTTCTCAAGTATCAAAAGTGTCTGGTTTTTACTGAATATGAAATCAGTCAACCCAGAGGTGGGGGAGATAATTCAAGAAAATTCTGGCAGTAGAAGAGTTAACCGGAGTGGTGTTACTTTATATTCTGTGGCTTAGAAGGTTCACTTTTTTCCAATTGCGTTAAAAGCTGAAGTTGGGGGTGTATAATATAACCTGGTTTGTCTAAATCTTGCCTCCTGGACATGGACGTTTCAATCGACGCTCAACGTCCAATCTATATATATATCCCACTTTATCCGCTGGCTGGAAATTAGAAAGTAAGGAGAGAGAAAATGTTTTACCGGAACTGTACGCAAGCTGATTGTAAAAAAAAAAATACGCGTGGAGACAGAGAATGGAGTTTGTTTACTGCTACGGTGACACTGTTTATACGAGCGGTGTTGTGCACTAATTGTAAAATGTGCACCAGCAATAACATTAACACTGAATTTCGTACGTAAAATATTAATGTTTAATTTATCTATCATCGTTGGTTCAAATTACATCTCACACTTGCTGTGGAAGCACAGACAAAGCTGGATATGCAATCTGGCAGTGATCCAGCTTTGTGGCGTAGCCCCTCAGCACGTTGGCACAGGGTAGAGGGAAGTGGAAGAAGAGGAAGAGGCTGTAGAGAATGTCTGGATGATATGAGAGATTGGTGCCAGAGAGATGTGGCATAGCCTCGGCACGTTGGCACAGGGTAGATGGAAGTGGAAACAAGTGGCAACATTTTGCGGTGGACACCTACGGGCTTTCTGCCCGTGGGGTTTTATGATGATGATGATGATGAAAAGTGTACTATTGTGGTAAAGCTGAGATGGACCGTGACATGTTTGTGTTTACCTTCCAGAGAGGCACACTGTGGGACGAGCTGGAAAAACTCCGCAACAAGCACAGCTTCATGACGGAGGAGAGGATCGTCGACATCTTCCGTGGCATCTGCAGCGGCCTCAAGGACATTCATGACAAGGGCTTTGCGCACAGGTCTGTATGCTCATCGGCAGCGTCATCATCATCGGCAGAAATGATCAATCCAGCAGTGGAATTGATCATTGGCTGATGATGGAGTCGAACAAAACACCCTTTAGATGGGGCTTTCTAAAGCTCCCTCTAGTGGGGAGGCCTTACAGCCAGCAGTGGCATGAGCAGGCCATTGCAGGGCTGCGCCTTTGACTTCACCGTGCCGCCCACATCAAATTGGATTTTTAAAAAAAATAGTTTTGTCATTAACACCGTGAACTCTGAAACAACGGAGGCATTGAAGCAATCCAGTGCGCATCAACTGAACTCACTTCCTGGCTAACCAAACTGGACACAAGACTTTTATGTTGCCAGTCATTTCAGCCATAACCAGTCATCCAACCTTTAGAACTGCTTTTTGTGTTTCGTTTTTTGTCCTTCCCCCACACCCCCGATTAGCAGCACAGGTGGCTATGTACGGTGCGAAAGAAGTTCAACATACTTACACACAGCCAAATTACTCAATTGGGACAATACAGAGCAATCATTGCCCCCCCCCCCCCCCCTTACCGGCAGACTACTGACCCAGGTCACTTGCAAAATGAGACTATCCTGGTCACTTGAATTCTCGCCTGGTCAAAACAAAATAAGCGTGAACCTCGATGCACAAGAGGCAGAGGTCGCAAACGGGTTTTGATTCCTTACCCGTACCCGGCCGCACCAGGGTCGCAAACGGGTACCCGTACTCGGCCGTACCCGTACCCTACCCGTACCCGGCCGGGTACGGGTAGGGTACGGGTATCGGGTACCTGATTGTGACCTCTGGGATAAAGCCATGTTGCAGGCGCGGGTGGGTTGATTCTAGGAACTTGAATTGTGAGAAGAGACAAGACGTTGGGAAATGAGTGACAAACAGTTACTCACCAGTCACTCACAGTCTACCCGTACCTGTAACCGGCCGCACCAGGGTCGCAAACGGGTGCCCGTACCCGGCCGGGTACGGGTATCGGGTAGGGTACGGGTATCGGGTACCCGGTTGCGACCTCTGGCAAGAGGCTGTGGAGCGGTTACGGCAACGCGCATGTCTCTGTGATTCTGCAGAGACCTGAAACCCACAAACGTCCTTCTTTCCGACGAGGACGTCCCCGTCCTCATGGACCTCGGCTCCATGGAGAAGGCTCGCATCGAGATAAAGAACTCGCGGGAGGCGATGGCACTGCAGGTGATGCAAACGTACCTCGTCGTCCTTCGTAACTATGGGAAGGGCTAGACGCACGCGGTACATGTACCCACCCGCGTACCTTGGCTTCCGTGGTGCGGTCGCACTGCGACATGTTGGACAATGTAAGGTCATGTCACCCGTTTTGCTCGATATGAATTTTTTGCTTTTTTTTATTTAAACGTGTGTTTTATTGCGAAATATGTGCGCGATGATAAAATAATGAATGGTGGCCTTACCCACGGTCTTGCTTGTTTCCTAGCAGCACAACTTTTAAGTCGGCCTTAACAATGGAAGTGGCTCATGTCATTATATATGTTGTGTGTAACCGACCACGTTGTGTGTTATACGCATTTTAGATGATAAAGTTGCAGATTTGAGAAGACTTCTTAAGCCAGGATTATTTGGAGTAAAAAAATGACAAGTAATATTTACTCATGATATAAATCAGAATATCACAATCAGAATATGTATTTATACTGGAGGAATCCGATGAGCAATAAAGCTCGTTTTCACAGATGTCCAGTCGAATTTACAGTAGAGCACAAAAACGAAAATCAAATAGCGAAATACATTTACACGGTTATGGGAAACTGATATTGTGATAATTGTCATATTGTGAAAATGTATGCCGTATCGTGTTTGTTTTGGCAGAAATGTCGCAGAGACTCTAGTTGATGTGTGGAGCACGCGAGATCTTGTGTCCAGAGATGTCCCGTGTCTAGATTACATGTAATTTAAGTCTATATAATGTCATTACATTTGTAATTTTTTATTGGTAGCTAAATTACACAGCTCAAAGTAATGAGTAATTGGCATCTAAATTACACCAGACACATTTAATTGCCAATTTGTATCTATATTACATTACGTCACTGCAGTCATTTGTACTTTAAATGTGTTTTTCTTCGCCTCTGCCTCCTTCAACTTGTGTCTTGCATCTCTTGCCGTGTGGGCGCACGCACGTGTGTGTGTGTGCATGCGCGCCGTGTGCAGGATCGGGCTGCAGAGCGCTGCACCATATCGTACCGTGCCCCAGAGCTGTTCACCGTTCCGAGCCACTGCATCATTGACGCACGGACAGACATCTGGGTCCGTATCGCACACTCGCAGACAATGAGGCCTTCCCCCGCACCTCCGATATGCGCGCTCGGCTACGTACGGCGCGGAAGACGTTCAACACACCACGCACGTTGAGGACTCGGAATAGCAGACTGACTGTTTCGTTTCAGCCACACTATGTTCAAGCACCACCACCACGACATTTCATAAAAAGGTCGTCCAGGGGCTTTGTGTGGCCACGTGATTGTCAGCAGAGGGCAGTCCAGAAATACATCCGTTGTTGTGCTGTACGTCTCTGCTCTCGCCACATCTACGCTCCCCGCCTTCAACAACCCCTGCTCACCAGCGTGGTGAAGCATGGTGGCCACGTAACCCCCACGACCCACGTGAGGAAGACCTCGTCTGGGCGCGAGATTGACAAAAAGGCTGTGACGCGCACGTACGCGTCAATCGTCTGGCTTGTTTGAGCTCGCCCGTCTCGCGTTTGTTTCGCCACCGCAGTCCCTGGGCTGCGTGCTCTTCGCCATGATGTTCCTGGAGGGCCCGTTTGACGGCGTGTTCCAGCGCGGCGACAGCGTCGCTCTCGCGGTGCAGAGCAGCGTCAACATCCCGTCTAGCAGCAGGTGACGACGCCAACAACGGGCATAACATCGTAGCCATGATAATAATAATTGCAGTAATACTTCGATTTAAGGATTTCGTGACTGCAGGGATTCATATTCTTGGTTCTCTAGGTAAAGTCATGTAGAAGGGAAATAATAAAAGAATAAAAATAAAACAATTTCCTTCTTTGTGACTTTACCGAAAGAACCAAGAATATGCAGTAATACTGCATAGGTTTTTTTCTGGTTGGGTCGTACAGCTCTCCGATGTTTTTGGTCGCATTGTGCGAGCGTGTTGTTCGACGCGACGTCCGACGTTTCGCTGTGGGTGCTGGCGGCTCCATCAGGAGCGAAACATGGGACATCGTGCCGAATAACAATGACGACACGATACAATCTGGAAACGCGCATGAGAACTGCAGTGCTGCTTTATTAGCTCACTGTCAGTGTAAGTATTCGACATTTCCAGACACTTCAGCGGTTTCATGTTGTCATGACTTCCTGAGGCTAATCAATTTTTATTCCTCCCCGTGTAGCTGGAGGCCATGTCACCATTCACTCCCCACGCAAAAAAAAAGTGATTTATAGACAGCGAAAGGTGCGATCGTGATGAGAGGGTAATTCCAGCCGTCATGCCGTGTGTGTCGCATCCAATCACCGTTGCTCCCGTGTATAAGGGTGAGGGCTTCGTGTGTTAGACCACCAAGATTCAAAATTGACCGGAGTATGTTCGGCAGCTGTAGGACAATTAGATGATTAGGCCGTGCCAGATTGTCCCCACAGTGATGAAGGGGAGGGAGGGCTTGTCCAAACAAAGCCCCTCTGGGTTCGCAAGGCAGCGGTAAGGAAATGATGGCTATGGTATCCAACAAGAGGTGGAAACGGCGAACTGTTGACTCCTTGTGGTTGCGATTTTTCGGCGAAAATTTGCAGCAGTGCCCTCCTTGCACTGCGTTAATGCACACATCGCGCCGTGCGCTGCGATGTAGGTTATGTTTCACAGCGTATTCCCAATTATAACCGGAGAGAATCCGTCATGTGCAACTTATTTCGTTTTAAACCATATTCATAACATCCTCAATGCATTTATTCATTTTTATCATCTCCACGAGTAGAATAAGGTGGTTACTTTAGGAGGGAAGGAAGGATATATGTTTATAACCATCCCATCAAAGTTTCGAAACGACTTTAATTGATTGAAGAGAGTGAGCAAATGGAAACATGGCGATTGTGACGGTCACACAACATGTCACGTAATTTCTGTAAAACGTACAAGCCCTTTAATTTTAAATCACACCCTATGCTCTAACGGTGGACGTCCAAGGTCCTGTGACGTCGTTCGCAAGAGTATGCCACTATGTGCCAGCGTCAATGAGTCCAACCAACACTGACAAATGAGAAAAATTGCCCCGCAGAATTACACCAAGTTGGGATTATACAGAGACCCCACATAGCTTGGGGCCATCGTTGATGCTGGATTTGGGTTGCTTTCCAGCTTGTCTGTGGCTTCCTGCCCCGACGAGCTGGGTGGAGTTAATGGGGCGGGGGGGGCCCTTTCGTGAGTAAACCTTTCTGATACTCTGAATTTTGATTGAAAAAAAAAGACTCAACTGCTAATCTTCACCGCCAAGACACCAGCTCCACCAGTCAAAGGGAATGTGTGAACATTTCACACCCTCCGAATAGCATAGCACCAGCCGAGCGAGTGGGTATAGTGAGCAACACGAACTATGATCTTCTACTCATGCGCAAGTGCCAGCTCGATAGGGCCTGAGTTGATGGGCATGTGCGAAGACAGTTTATGCTACTGAGGGTATGGATGGTACCGAGGGTATAGACGCAACCGCTGGTATAGATGGTACTGCTGGTATGAAAGGTTACCGTTCGTGTTGATGCTGTTGCTGGCGTAGCTGCTACTGGAGACCTACATGCAGGCGGCTTGACCACTCACGTAGCGCGCTATGGGTCTCCGTGATTGGTCCCCGTGAATGGTCCCTGTGATTGGTCGAGCGAGCCGACTCCCCGAGTGGATCACATCACGGTAATGTCGAGTGTAACTTTAAGTACATTTCATGTAATCATCTGCGAGAACGGCTTTTTTGTTGTTACCACGTTAGCAGAAGCAACACAGTCGTGCACTTAAGAAAATAAATATTGCTCTTGCAAAAATGGTTATTTTATGGCACATTTGGAGCGGTGCAAACACGCGAGCCAGTTGCTGAGCGGGCACAAATTAGGCTTAATTTCCACTCTTTTAATGCCTCATTTCACACGTGTTTCAAAGGGCACTTTGTTTAAAATTGCACATTCTCCAGAGTTTTACTACACACAATTGCAAAATGGTGCTTTTTAGTGTATCCGAATAAAAGATAAGGCAATGAAGGTCCCTCTTCCCGTGTGATTAGAGAGGCAAAGGTGTTAGCGAGGGCATGTCGCTTGAAGGTGATGGCAGGTCGGACGATAAAGTCCTGTTTGCAAGCATTGGGCACATTTTAAGTGAAACAAATAAGAATCGTAATCGGTAGCGTAGAGAGCTAATGGACAGGTATTTAAAAAACATGAAGACAACCCCATGGCCAGTGTGAGGGGTTAACAGCGAAGTATTCACATCCCAGCGGTTCGGTGAATTGTCCCAATTCAGGGTGGCGATTATTTTTCATTACTTTTTTTTATTCATCTTCTTTGTTTTGTTTCCAGATCGTTCCCTTTGGTTTTTGCAGTTTTCCCTCGCTCCATTCACGGGAAAAATAACTTTCATTCATCTATAAAATCAACCGGAACCTCCAGTAAATCACGTGACTTCTGAGTGGCCACCCCGACTGTGAATCCCCTCTCCGCGCCGCCCGCTGTGAAAACAGCAGCCGCAGCAGCAGCGTCAAGATCCTGATGTAGCCTCTTCCTTCACCCCATCATTATCTCTCCTGAACCCAGTGGTCCCGTTTCTCTATTCCTTTCTCATCCTCCCATTTGTTTATTAGTCTCATGTTTTGTTGTCTTCACTTCCTGTTCCTTTTTGAGTTTCCATTCCTTCTCTCCTTGACTCCACCACTCCCCTTCCCGTGGTGTGCGACCATGGGTTCGAAGCTGCCAGTTTTTTCGTAATTTGTCAAAGAATCCAACACGGATGATTCTGTGTTTAAAAAAAAATGAATCGAGCACAAGAAACATTTTTAGGGTGCCTCGCTATATATCTTGTTTTTTTAATGCTTCGATGTATTCCACGGGGAGGGGTGTGCTGCACGGCGGGGGGAAGGGGTTAACCGATGGTCGTTTAACTCCGCAGGTATTCACAACCTCTGCGCACACTGCTAACCTCGCTTATGGACGTGGACCCCTCGGAGAGGCCCACGGCCGACGGCGCCCTGGAGCAAGCGAACGAGCTGCGTGGCGCCTTCTCTTCCACGCACAACACGGCCGTCTGAGTTTCAGGGGGGCCGGCCCCCCCCCCTTCGCAAACCGGCCGCCGCTCCCAAAGTGGCTTTCCGGGGACAGTTTCAGGAGGCCGAGCTTGCGTTGACAAAGAGCGCAAGCCAGCCGTCGCGTCTTCCCACGGCTTCAGAGCACCGCAACGAGGCGTTGTCATCGGTGGTGTTGTTGTTGTTCAGGCTCCTCGCTCAGAACATTTTAACTCGTTCAACGCATTCCACACGACGACGACAACAAACCTCTCTTCGTTACTCGGTGACGTCGGCGCAGCGCTTGTGTCAGGCGAGGTGCGTTTTGAGGCCGTGCGAAGTGGCGAAGGTTGGCTGGAGCGCTCTTATGTGCTATGCTGGTTATATAGCATTCCACGCACAAACACAACAACTTTCCGTCACTTGCCAGTGATTGGTGGTGACCACACCATGGTACCTCCTTGTGTGAACGCTAGGTGCATGTGCACGACCCGTGAAGTTACAAAGGTTATACACACAAATGCACGTACATTTGTACAGAGTCAAAAGCAGAGGTATCACCGACGGCTTAAATGGACTTTTGGAGCAATTGCTCTCATCGAACACCTGCTAAGGGCCGGGACATCACCCCGAGCTGATGGGTGGTTAGGTCAGTACGATCAGTGTGTCTGCAGCGCTAACTGTAGACACACTGCACCAGGTATGCATTTTACACTGAGTCAACCCAGGTGGGGGACCACGTCCAGTTTTCCAAACCGGTTCTGTCACTGGCTGCGTGTGTGCGCGCGCGAGCGAGGCCAGGAGTCGAAGCCAGTGCCCGCTTGAGATTGTTAGTGCCGTGTGATCACGGCTTTGTCACCGTTTCCCCTGAAACGCACACATGCTCTCGCGTGCTTGTGCATCGAAGCTGCTAAGGGGAGGAGCATTCGTGTCAGAGGTTGCAAACGGGTTTTGATTCCTTACCCGTACCCGGCCGCACCAGGGTCGCAAACGGGTACCCTACCCGATACCCGGCTACCCGTACCCGGCCGGGTATCGGGTAGGGTACGGGTACCCGATTGCGACCTCTGGGATGTAGCCATGTTGCAGGCGTGGGTGGGTTGATTCTAGGAACTTGAATTGTGAGAAGAGACAAGACGTTGGGAAATGAGTGACAAAGGGTTACTCACCAGTGACTCACGGCCTACCAGTACCCGTACCCAGTCGCACCAGGGTCGCAAACGAGTACCTGTACCCGGCCGGGTACGGGTATCGGGTAGGGTACGGGTATCGGGTACCCAATTGCGACCTCTGATTCGTGTTCAGTCGGGCGCAACGCCTGGACCTTGGCTGCTACTGCCCTGCCCAGATGAACGTAGAAAGGGGGCGAATTACAAGTATGCTTCTTTTTGTTCGTTTGACTCTTGCCTGTATTATCATTAGTATATATCAGACATGGTTGTTACTCTACTGGTGGATGAAGACCTCCCCAAGTTGCGATGGGGCCGATTAATTTGGGGGGGGTGGGGGGAGTTCAATTGTTTGTGGGTAACGAATAAGAGGACGAAAACTTGAAATTGCACATTATCTAAATATCGCGACAGTACCGTCATGCAATGTCACACATTTAACTAAACTTCTGAGCTTCATTTATAACATCTGTAGTTTAAACAGGTTCTTACACATGCCTTTCTGCACATTGGTAAATATGTTTCGGGAGTTCCCCCCCACCCCAGCAATGCCGAATGCATTAGCAGCATCACCTCTCTGGGATTGTCAAAGGAGCAAACCAAAGGAGGGTTTAATAGGGGGGGGGGTGGAGGGGGGGGTGTCTTTTTAGTGACTGATCCTAGCGAAACTCGGCACATCTTGAGTTTAACGCAACCAGCTGGCCGCATTCACTTGCTCCGTTTGATTACCATCCTATGGGGCATTTATCCCCGGCATCTTCACGTGCAACGTTCAATACAGGGACTCCTCAACTTACCGACTTTCGACTTACGACCTTTAAGAGATACGAACAAACCTAGTTGCCTGTTTGGACCGAGATCCATAAGTTCAACCAGCGTGCAATAGATGCCGGTGGTGGCATCTACACATGCAGACGATGAAGAACCAGTGGCATCTACAGGAGATCATACAGCGTTTAAAGCCATTGCCCGTGTTTAGTGGACACGCCGTACAACACGTTTGTAATCGACAGGAGTAAAGTTGGACTTACGAACAAATTGACTTACGAACAGAGGTCTTGAACGTAACTTGTCCGTAAGGAGAGGAGTCCCTGTGCCAAGGTTTTTGAAGAGTTTAGTCCTCTTGTATATGTGCGTACTTATTTTTACGCGTATTTATGCAAAATATCGCATTCTTGTCCACGTGTCAGAAGTGTTCGAGTGGTATTGATATCATGGCCGTGTTGTGGACATTGGACACCGTACCTTAAGAGTGGCATCCAAGATGGTAACGTGCAGCGTTGGATACCAGGTATTGAACATGTCTGGTCTTTACACATCCACCCTTTTGTTGAAGAAAAATAGCATTAATTTCCACACGTGTACTGGTAACGTGATGCAGTGTCGAGTGGTGTTAATATTATTGAGTGCAAAGACTCCTTGTATAGTGATTCCCAGTGTTTACAGGATCAATAGATCGACTTTTTGCGTACGTCTACTGTGTTTGTGCAAGGCCACACTGACCTGCTTAGTGTAGCTGGTAAGTAGACTATTGTGTAAGGGGCCATCCATTTAGTACGTACGCTAATATCTGACAACTTGACCCGCCCCCTCCCCCGAATCCTATAGAACGGCCGATATTTAATCAACGCAGAAACGATCAAGGATTAATTATATTAACGTGTTTCAGCAAACAGACAGTCCACCGCCAGCTGCATTAAAGAATTAAGTTGTGTACCTTGGCCACTTATTTTGCTGAGCTGCATGATAGCTGCTGTCAGGGTTACGGTGGCACACGAGTGACACCTCTCCCACAGTCCCACCTCTCCCGGTAGTGATTGTCTGACAGCTGAAGAAACTGAACTGTGGCTCATTTGAAGGCCGATGTAGACATCGAGGTTTCACCCCCCCCTCCCCCGTTTCCTATGCGTACGGACATTGTCAGTAGACCCCACATACGCAAGCGTACGCATTTTAGTTAACCCCCTTCCCCCTCCATGCGTACGTACTAAATGGATGGCCTCTAAGTAGACGATTCTGCGTTGGTGTAGGTGTACTGCTGCTGTTAATGGTCTCTCTTTGCTGTGTGCCTTTTTTGGGGGGGTTTGTCTTTGTTAATGTATGTCCTTTCCCCCCACCCCGCATGATGCATTCCACTGCAACTTTAATTTGTGGCGGGGAGGGGGCAAGGGGGCGAGGGGGTTCAGTCTGAAATGGCAACTGAAAGTCGGAACGATTTTCAGATGCACCGTACAAGAGGTTATTCTAAATAAACTTCACTGTTTTCACCCCAAAAAAAAAAACAAAGTCTAGAGCAGTGGTTCTTAAACTTTGACTGCAGCCTTGCACCCCTTTGGTTCTCAATCGTAAACAAAAAATACGTAAGTTTGATAAAAACAAAGTGGTTGTACTTGCCAGTATTTTGTGTTTCGATTATTTACCTTTCTCAAGAAAATCTTGCCGAGTTTCGCACCCCCAGAAAGGACCTCTCGTACCCCCCTAAAGGGGGTGCGTGCACCCCAAACTAGGAACCACTGGGCCGGAGTAACCAGAGAGGAACGACGTCGTCAAGCGAGATGCTGCTGCGCTTTGCGGCTCTCCCGACGGCGGCTTCTGGCCCCCACGTGGCCGCGTTCTCGCCGTGCGACCTCCTGAAGAAGCGCGTGGAGCGAAACGTCGGGACATCCTGCCGGAACAGCGCGCGGCGACGTCTGCCCGAAAACATTTCGTAGAGCTACACGCAAAACCGTTGTGTAGATTTTGACTTGTTGTTTTTTTTTTTTGGGGGGGGGGGGGAGGAGGGTGGTCGCCTCCCACTATCGATGCTCGCTTTTTTTGCCACCTGTGCCCGATGGCAGCCAAAACTGGCGCCACTGAACAACTCTCGCAGCGGGGCGGGGGGGGGGTGGGCTTTGAGCGAAGCGGCAAAGCCAGCGGACGGGTAACTCCGCTCGTCCCGAACTCTTCATCTGCGTGTGGTTGCGAGCGGGCGGGGGAGAATGAAATAGGAGTGAAACGGAAGTCCCTTTATTGTTCAAATCAGAGAGCGAGACAGAGCGAGAGAGATATTGTAAGGGGCACGGTGACGACTGCACGGCAGATTCTCGCATTATTTGTGCCGCGGTGGGAAAAGCGTCAATAACTAAACATCTCTCTCGCGTTCCATAGATGGAGAAGAGTTCGCACGCTAGAACGACGTGGAGTTGTTTGGAGGGGGGGGGGGGGGCCCAGCGGCTTGACTCCCGCGTGCAACAACGGAGCTTCTGCCTTGGCTAAATCAGATTTTCTGGAGCGCGTTTGCTCTCAGAATGCGGGGGGGGGGGGGGGCTCGTTCACGGTTAGAGTTTTGCCCTTTTTTAATATTTTTATTTTATCCGCTTTAAAATCCCGTTATTCCCGTGAAGACGACATTTTGCCCATTTTGCAGCCCGTAATGCGATTTATATCGAGATATATATTTACTGATGAAAATAAGCAATGAGAAAGAAAGGTGTACGGGAACAACAACAAAAACAACGGCCCCACACATCACCGAAACCACCAAAAAAAATGTGTGAAGCGTGCAATCCGGCAGGTGCCACATGGGGCTGCCTGCCACGCGTGATGTGCCTGCGTAGCGCCGAGACGCGGCTAACGACAAGTCGGTATTGCTTCACACGCTGTGTTCAATTGTCAAGTCGCACGAGTGCGATTTTTCCGTAAACAATATATTTTTCGATGAATGCCACCCCCAGCCCCCCTCCCCTCCTCCCCCAAAGCCTCGTCATATGCAGGACACGGTATATCCATCCCCGCATTATTTCGAGGGCACCCGTGGAGATTTCTGCGAGAATTCGGTGCCATTACTTTTGAATGATCTCTTGCATATACCCGGATTGACCGTTGGGGGAACACTTTGCGAAGAACGCAAATCTGATTGTGCTCATCGTTGGCAATGGCAGTGCACAAGGTTTGCTATGTTTGAGCCCATCCATCATTTTGCGTTGCTAGTTCGATTTCGGGCGTTGGGTTTTTTTCTTTTTTCCCCTGCACTTTTGTGCGATGGCGAATGGAATTCTTCAGCGGAGAGATCGAGAGAGAGAGAGAGAGATCTTCACCGCCAGGAACGTTGGGTTGCTCGGTCAATGGCCAGGGTCAACGGCGGCGTGGTGTATTCCGCAAATATGGCCGACTGTGAGGGCGGGCACAAGCCGGCGTGAGTAGGTTAAACGTTGAGTTTTATAAGGGCACCACGGGGTGACCAGCCCCTCGCCACCCAGCCCCACCCCTCCCATTCCCCACCCAACCCCTCCCCTCTCTACCCAGCCCCACCCCTCTCATTTTTGGATGCACAACGGACGGACGGACGGACACTAATCCCCTGTGAGCTGGTGGAACCAAGTGGTTCCTACCAATATTAAACGGCCCAAAGAGCAGTCTCACAAGAGCTGAACTGTCTCAAACTCCTTTTTTTGGCTGCCTGCGATCAAGCTCGCTGAAGCAGAGCTCAGCTCGTAGTTGAGAGCAGGGGTAAGGGCAAGTTTTTTTTTTATTTTGCCCCTTCATGAGTATCAAACAGGACTTTTAAATTGATCAATTTGGCTGGCCACGCACGAACACGCACCTCGGCCTTGCTCACGCCGACGCGCTCTCGGATGTCGGCTCGCGATCTCCGAGGTCGACAACATTTTCCGCGAGGGTGCTCGGAGCGATACACAAGTATAACCCGTAAAAACAAAGTTTTTCACTATAAATCCTTTATATGCGTGGCGGCTAGAGTCCTCTCGTCCTCTGGCTTGAGATGGCTGCCACCTATGGGACAGATGATGGCATTGCACCATGAAGCAATTGGTAATTAAATATAATATTTTTGTCCTAAAACGTGTAAAATTTTTTTTTTTTCACGAACATTAATTGTCACGCACAACGAGTCTGTGTGGAAAATGTCAGCTCGATTGGATCACGGGAAGTGGGTTAAAAAACGACCGAAAGATTTGCACGGTCGTAAGCAAGCAAGCGAACTTAATATAAATGATTTATAAACAAAAATATCCCCCTCGAGGTGACGGGCGTCACGTGGCCGCGGGGTCGTGAAGGAATTTAAAGTCGCGCGTCCGACGATCTCTCCACAACGCCTGGCGCTCGCTGATTTGCGAATATAATGTGGCGGTGCAGCGAGAAGCGATGACATCTAATTTGGTTATTCGACTGCAATAACCATTACATCCTTAATTCTCACAACTCTCGCCCCCCCCCCCTAACTGATAATGGTGTGTTGCATAGCAATGACATTTTTTTCACTTTACATCAACACTTTAATGAGGTGGGATCATAACGCAAAGCTTGACTCGGCCGTAAATGGAACTTGGGTATTGAGTTTTAATCTCGATCGCTCGGCTTCCACACAGCCCAGAAATCCCCGCCCCGTTCACATGCAATTATGGTTAATTGCTTGTGTATGTCGGTGTGGAATGGAATAGGCCCGAAAAATCGGCCTGGAAGAGTACGGACAGGATTATTAGATCGACATCTCGCCACCATGGCACGAGATGTTAACTACCTCGCCTGGTACACAGGAGATCGTGGGTTCGATCCCGACCCTGACGCCTGCTGCTGTATATTTGTAGTTTACGTGTCTCTCTCTCTCTCATCATCATCACGGTGGCTATACAGGAGATCGTGGGTTCGATCCCGACCCTGACGCCTGCTGCTGTATATTTGGAGTTTGCGTGTCTCTCTCTCTCTCATCATCATGACGGTGACAATGAGATATTAACTACCTCGCCTGGTATACAGGAGGTCGTGGATTCAATCCCGACCCTGACGCCTGCTGCTCTATATTTGTAGTTTACGTGTCTCTCTCATCATCATCACGGTGGCTCGGAGATATTAACTACCTCGCCTGGTTTACAGGAGATCGTGGGTTCGATCCCAACCCTGACGCCTGCTGCTCTATATTTGTAGTTTACGTGTCTCATCATCATCACGGTGGCTAGGAGATGTTAACTACCTCGCCTGGTTTACAGGAGATCGTGGGTTCGATCCCGACCCTGACGCCTGCTGCTGTATATTTGGAGTGTGCGTGCCTCTCTCTCTCTCACCCGTCGTCATGTGTGATGTTCTCCGAGACCTCCGGTTTTTCCCCCCCACATGTATAAACGTCACGCGTTTAGAGTACTTGGCTGTTGTACATTTCCACGTGACGATGATAAGCCACTTCGTTGAACTATCATTTGCGATAGCAAAATCGCTTCTGAAAAAGAGCTACTCAGCTCAGTAGGGCCTTACCTGGCAAAATAAAATATATCTTCTTGGTTCTTTCGGTAAAGTCACGTAGAATGGAAATAATAAAATAATAAAAGTAAAACATAATAAAATTCTTCTCACGACGTTTCGGCCACAACGCAAGCAGCCGTCCTCAGGTGGAGAGCATGTCTGTCGAGGTCTGTCTACTCGACAGACATGCTCTCCACCTGAGGACGGCTGCTTGCATTGTGGCCGAAACGTCGAGGTCTGTCTACTCGACAGACCTGCTCTCCACCTGAGGACGGCTGCTTGCTTTGTGGCCGAAACGTCGTGAGAATTATTTTATTATGTTTTATTTTTATTATTTTATTATTTCCATTCTACGTGACTTTACCGAAATAACAAAGAAGATGAATCCCTGCAGTCACGAAAGCTTTAAATCGAAAAATAAAATATAGTTTAGCTTGAAATTGTCCTTCAAAGTCTGCCTCTGTTGCATAAACATTTTATACGTAAAGATTTTATGCATAAACATTTCATGGGTATTATATCTGCCCCGACTGATTGACCACCCACACCCAGGGCATTTTTTGTGCACGGTGTAATGTCATTTTCGAACAGATGTTCATATAAATACGGCCTTTTCACACCCGGTAATGCGTTCTTAATCTCGCGTACGCTCCCTGTCAAAAGCACAGGAAAACGTTATGGACTCTACCCCCATGTTTAAAGTGGTGTGTGCGTCACTTGTTGTCTGGCACGGTAAATCCTGACTTAGCATGTGTTGTTCACACTAACACAGTTTCACTATAACGCGGTTTCACTCTAACACAGTTTCACTATAACACAGTTTCACTATAACGCAGTTTCACTATAACACAGTTTCACTATAACGCAGTTTCACTATGACGCAGTTTCACTATAACGCAGTTTCACTATAACGCAGTTTCACTATAACGCAGTTTCACTAAAACGCAGTTTCACTAAAACGCAGTTTCACTATAACGCAGTTTCACTATGACGCAGTTTCACTATAACGCAGTTTCACTATAACGCAGTTTCACTATAACGCAGTTTCGCTATAACGCAGTTTCACTATAACGCAGTTTCACTAAAACGCAGTTTCACTATAACGCAGTTTCACTATAACGCAGTTTCACTATAACGCAGTTTCACTATAAC